TTTTAGTAAATAAATTTCTAAATTTGGCGCTTTTTAGTAAAAAGTTGATATCTTATATTGTCCTCACTTAAATTTGGTGCTTTTTTAATAATAAAATAAAATTAAATATCTTAGACTATCCGGTACTGTAGTTTAGTGGACAGTATTTTAATATCTAATACAACAACAAGTCTCGGTATAGTTTAAGTTAATATCAAATATGGTTCTGTTTTAGTTAGATTAGTCAGTTTTTGTTTTGAATAAAGTTCTGATATATAAGAATATGAAGCCTAATTAAAGCTCATATCAACAGTCATATAGAGGTTAGGGAGTTTAAATTCATATGATAATAGTAGATTTTTTAAGCAAAATAAAAACCCAGAAATTGTGTATTTTATCTGTAAAAAATAGGGCTATATAGTCTAGGATTGTTTTTAGAAGAAGTTAGATAGCTCTTTTATAGAACGAAAAAAGTTGACTATATTCAGAAAAAGAAAAATCAGGAAGAGAAGAAGGTAATAAGAAAGATTTACTTAGAAGTATCAGTGAAATATTAGAAAAAATTATAAAACCTGCAGCACTGGTTGTAGTATGACTAGAGAACAGAGTGTCTTTGTTTTTGAAAAATATGAGATCATTAACGTAAAAAAAAATATCAAAGCAGGTTAGTTTGCAAAAGATGAGTTGAAGTGGGTAAAGCAAGAGTTGAAAAGGCTAATGAGAATGAGCAATATATATAAAGATGATGAGATTAGGAATATTACTAGAAGTGAGTTTAAAATTTTTAGTGCTGAAAGTTGATATGAAAAAATATCATATAGTAATAGATTTAAGACAGCTAAATCAAATATTATCAGAGAAAATATTTCATTCAAAGGATTGAGAAGATTTTTGAAAACAATTAGAAAGAATTGGTAGTGATTGTATTCAACCTGAGAAATAAATACCATTATATGTTAATGAATGATTAGATATAGTATTTTTTAGGGTTTTAAGTAGAAAAAAAATAGGTTTATTATACAGTTTTTCTATTTGGATTGTTTTAGTCGTTGTAGATTTTTTCGAAGATAAAGAGAGCATTGATAAGTTTGTGAAGATCATAAGGAATTTATTGTAAAAATCATATTGATAATATTTAAATTAGATATATATACAAAGAAAAGCTATTGCAGGTAAAAGAGAAAGTAGTAAAGGTCAATTTAAAAAAATATGATTTTGTAAGAATAGTGAAAAAGAGAAATTGGAAGCAACAAAAAGAGTAAAAATCCATGGTTTAATAGTAAATATGAAGAAAGGAGTAGTCAGAAAAAAAGATCGAGAAAGTATAAAAGGAGTTGAAAATAGTGGAAGTGTTGTAAATAGTACTGGCAAAAAGATTGACATTGTTGACAAGAAAAATTCAGAGTTTTGTTTAAGCATTTTTGCTAGTACAAGTAAAATGTATAAAATTTTATATTATCCCTTAAACCGTCCCAAGTTAGCAGGCATATTTAGCTGCTAAAATGTTAAAATTGTTATGTCTGATCTATT